TGCTCTGAGGGTGAGGAGGGGAGGGCCAGGGGCCTGACAGGAGGGCAGGAGCTCACGGTTCAACGCTGGACCATTGTGCAGGTTGTGACAATGTGATCCTGGTGTGGGACGTGGGCACTGGAGAAGCCGTGCTGACGCTGGGCGCCGATGTGCACCCGGACACAATCTACAGTGTGGACTGGAGCCGGGACGGCGCTCTCATCTGTACCTCCTGCCGCGACAAGCGCGTTCGCATCATTGAGCCTCGAAAAGGCACTGTTGTGGCTGTAAGTTGCCAGGAGCCCTAAACCTTGGCCTCTGCTCTCCCTGATCCCGCCTAGGGTCTAGTCCCTTGGTGAGGCTGAGAAGCTGACCTGCCACATTTCTCTCCTCCCAGGAAAAGGACCGTCCTCATGAGGGAACTCGGCCAGTGCACGCTGTGTTTGTGTCAGAGGGGAAGATTCTGACGACCGGTTTCAGCCGCATGAGTGAGCGGCAGGTGGCGCTGTGGGACACAGTGAGTGCTGGGAAGCGGACCCTTTAGAGTAGCAATCAAGGCTGGAGGCTAAGTCTCCGCCCTACCACCTATGACCATGGCCTCAGTTTCCCTCCAAGATGGGGAGTTTCCACTGCTCAGTCTGAGGGCCCTTGCCTGCTCGCTGTCCCGTGAGGACCTGACATGGCCTGGCTGTTGCCACCCCACCTGTCTCCACAGAAGCACCTGGAAGAGCCACTGTCTCTGCAGGAGCTGGACACAAGCAGCGGGGTTCTGCTGCCCTTTTTTGACCCAGACACCAACATCGTCTACCTCTGTGGCAAGGTGACCGCCTGTCAGGCGGGCTGGGGGCAGGGCGGCGGGGAAGTGGCTTGGTGAGCCCCAGGCTGGCGGCCGGTGCCGGGCTGACTCTCGCCCACACCGCCCACAGGGCGACAGCTCTATCCGGTATTTTGAGATCACCTCGGAGGCTCCGTTCCTGCACTACCTTTCCATGTTCAGCTCCAAGGAGTCTCAGCGCGGTATGGGCTACATGCCTAAGCGTGGCCTGGAAGTGAATAAGTGTGAGATTGCCAGGTGAATGACCCCTGACCCTGACCAGACCTGCAGCACCCAGCCAGCCATGCTGTAGAGTGCCACTCACCTTCCTGTCTCCACAGATTCTATAAGCTGCACGAGCGGAAGTGTGAGCCCATTGCCATGACTGTACCTAGAAAGGTGATGTTCCTAGGCTCCTCCCTGGGCGCTAGGACAGGAACTGACCACGGGGGCTTGTAGGGAGGGGCAGGAACATAAACACTCTCGTGACCAGCCTTGGCCTTGCCCACAGTCGGACCTGTTCCAGGAGGACCTGTACCCGCCCACCGCAGGACCGGACCCAGCCCTCACAGCTGAGGAGTGGCTAGGTGGCCGGGATGCTGGCCCCCTCCTCATCTCTCTCAAGGACGGCTACGTGCCCCCAAAGAGCCGGGAGCTGAGAGTCAACAGGGGCCTGGACAGTGTCCGCAGGAGAGCCACACCAGAGGCCAGCGGCACTCCCAGCTCGGTGAGGCCGGTGGGGAGCTGGAGTAGCCGGGCAGGAAGATGGACCAGGGCAGAGGATGTGTGGATGTGCTCGGTGTCTCCCAGGGGAAGAGCTTGGCATTTAAGATTTCCAAGCTCCGCGTGGTGGGAGATTCTTGGAGGGCAAGGAGTGGGTGACCCCGAGGCCTTAGAAGCCAGGTGGCGAGCTTACGGGCCTACGGTAATCAGGTAGTAGCTGTTGGGACCAAAGGGCCCCGAGCCTTGGGTTTCTGGGAAGGGTTAGCTGATGTTGGAGGAAGGGAAGCTACAGAGAACTGGGCCTAATGCAGTGCCGGCCCCTCCAGGACACCGTGTCACGGCTGGAGGAGGAGATGAGGAATCTGCAGGCCACGGTGCAAGAGCTGCAGAAGCGCATGGACAGGCTGGAGGAGACTGTTCAGGCCAAGTAGAGGAGCCCAGAGCCTTCAGCTGGGCCAGCCAATCACTCTGCTCCCACCCCAACCCTCAGGCCATATGGTGAATAAGACGAAACTAATAAAATGGCTTTATTTTCTGGTACCTCTCAGACTCTGGTGAACTGGCCAGCCCCAAGGCTTCCCTGTGATGGTTCTGAATACATTCAGGTTGCGGGTCACTTCCAAAAGCACTCTAGCAAATGAACGGGGCCTTGGTTGGTAGGCTACCCGGTGATGAAGAAGAGAGACTGTTCCCTGTTTCCTAGCTCCATCTTGGAATGGAAGGTCTGAGTCATCAAAATCCCTAGCTCAGAGCCCCGAGATTTTCCATATTCACCCAAGTCTTTCTTGTGTTTTCTTTGATAGTGCTGGGGACCAAAGCCATGGCCGCTGACATGCTAGGGAGGCTCTTCATCATTCTAGCTCTGCCCCTAGCCCTGACCCCAAATTAGCACTTCCGGGTCAACTTGAGCACAAACTGCATACAGCTGTCCCGACACTGGTGCTTATGGGGAAACCAACAAGCACACGGTGACACTTCCAACTACACACTCAAAGAACAAAAAGAACAAGACTTCTGATCAGAAGCGACTCACACCTGCAGCCCAAACTCTTGGGAGACTGAGGCCTGCTGGGAGTTTCAAGCCAGAGACTCAACTGAGAGTGGGTTATCAAGTGAGCTACTGCCTCCCAAACCAGACCAGACCAGAAATGGAGCTGGGATGCAGCCTGGGTGGCAGCATGCACCAGGCCCTCGGTTTGATCCCCAGCACTGCATAAGCCAGGTGTCGTGACCCACACCTGTAATCTCAGCATTTGGGAGGTAATGGCGGGAGGATCAGAAGTCAAAGCTAGCCTAAAATAGAGACCCTGTCTCAAAAAACAACTGTAATAAGACAAACAATAACCAAAAAGAAAAAGAAAGAGGCCAGAAAGATGACTTAGTGGTTCAGTGTTTGCTCTGCAGTCATGAGTGCTGGAAGTCAGATCCCAGCACCCATGTCACAAGATGGGTGTCCCTGCATACCTCAGCTGCGATGTGAACAGAAACAGGACTGTGCAGCTGGCTGGCTTCCAGCCTAACAAAGATGCAAGCACCAGGTTCAGGGCGAGAGCCTGCCTCAAAGGAATAAGTAGAAAGTGACAGAGGACACCTGACATCCTCTTCTGGCCTCCACTCATGTGTAGGCATGTACACATATACATGTACACTCATGATACCTGCATGCACATATATTCATACACATAAGTAGAAATAAATCTTGTGCTGGAGACATAGCTCAGCAGTTAAGAACATTTGCTGCCCTTTCAAGGGACCAAAATTCAGATCCCAACACCCACATCAGGCGGCTCACAACCACCTGCAACTCCAGCTTCAGGAAACTTGGCACCCTCTGCAAGCAACTACACCCGAATCCACAACTACAAATGAGCCAGGTGTGGTGACACGCGCCTTTAGACCAGCACTGTGGAAACAGAGGCAGGCGGATCTCTAAGTTCCAGGACAGCCAGGAGAGAGCCACAGAGAGTCCCTGTCTCAAACAAACAAACCAACAAACAAAACAAAAAACAACTTGGAAGACAAAGTCCCATAAGGGCAAAGCTTAGGAAACAGGGAACAGCCTGACTCTGGATTGAAACACAGAGCAGGGCAATGATTGGCTGAGGGCAGTTCTGGAGTTATGGTTTAAGTGACCCCTTTCATTCACAGCATCCTGCTGCCTTGGAGCATTTCCTGTGGGTTTCACAGGACCTGGCATCTGAATAAGAGACAGATTTCTTAACCCCTGTCTACAGGAGTGTTTGTTTTTGTGTGTTTTGTGATTGTCTCCCATTGCCCAGGGTGGTCTTGAACTCCTAACACTTCTATCTCTACCTCTCAAGTGCTGTTCTAGGAGTGTATATATCACGGTGCTGGTTTATATGGTACTCAGGACTGAACTCAGGGCTTCATGTGTGCTGGGCAAGCTCCTCCAATAGCTCTATCCTCAGTGTGGGAGACTCCAGAGCTGGGATGAGATACAGGGGCTCAGGAGGGTATCATGACCACCACAGGGCTGAAGTCATACAGTTCAGAGAATACCCAGGACCCCAGCCCTTTCCTCCTCAGCATGCCATGGAGTTATCTGGATATAGAGAATGGCACACAAACAGGTCTGCCCACCCAGCTGTGTTTTGCTCTCTGACAGGACATGTGAGCCTGGGCAAGTCCCTTCTCTCCCATAAACTGGAGGAGGGCCATCAATGGAGAATGAAGGGTTACTCCTCTAGAGATGCGGGCGAGGATACTCTGCATCTTTCCTGTGTTCTCTTTTAGGATCCTTGTGAGTAGATTGAATCACTAGTTCTCCAGAGGAACTAAAAACGTTCAGGAAATGACCCTGGGGATGGAGAAGGCCTGACCAGTGACTATGACTCCAGCTTGATCAGTCTCTTTGATGGAAGAATGAGAAGGTGGAGGTACAGATAATAAAGTGTTAAGTGTCAGAGACAGGCCTGGACAATATGGGGAAGAACTGAGCGTGGTGACTGATGACAGCTGTAGTCATAGATGAAGGGAAGACTAAGGCGAGAGAACCATCTGAGTGGTCCTCTCTGAATTTAAGAGCAGCCTGGAAAACACATTGAGAGCTTGTCTAAAAGACAAAACAGGACAAAACCAAAGATCCACAGAGGAGAGGAATTAGATGTGCAGGAGCTGGATGGAACATCATGCTCCTTGACGCCTGAAAAGAGACTGACAACATGACAGGAAAGGTATGTCTTGTTTCTCTCTGATGTCTCCAGGAGCCTAGAGAGAGGGAGGCAGTAGGGAAAGGCTCAGGGTTTCTGGTTCTGGCGGGCTGGCAGAGCAGGAACACCCTGCTTTCTGGGGGCTGACCTTGGTGACAGTGCCACAGGAGTAGACAGAGAAGGTTTACAAGGCATCCTTGACAGAGACGAAAGGACAGAACAATGCCAAAGCAATGGCTGGAGGAGACGCAGGGGAAAGCCAAGTCCTCACCTCGGCCTCAGAGCCCTCAAACAGCACACTGACACAAGGTGGACCTGATTTACAATTTAATGGCTGTCCGGGCCTGGGTCCCTCACTTCCGCCACTGCTCTGGGGTCAGAGTTTTCTGCTCAAAGGCGTGGATGTGCGGGAGCTCTTCAGCTAAGCATTCATTCACCAACCTGGGAGAGAGATGGGGTTGGGAAATGATCGGCCTCGGCTAGGGTGGTAGGCTCCGAAGCAAGCATCATCAGGGAGTTCGGAGATGTCTCCGGGACGTGGGGATTCGAGGAGAGGACAGAAATCCAACCACAAAGGCAGGGGCGCTCTCGGGTTATGGGCCACATCACTGGGCTTTGGGCGTGAGTTAGTCCCCACCCGAGCCGGCAGCGACCCGGGCTGCCGTCCCGAGCCCGAAGCGCTGGGCGGGGGGCTCCCGGGGGCTCACCGGTGTCTCTGGAGCAGTGGCTTTCCCTCGAACTTAGCCGACACCACCAGGACTCGGAAGCTGGTCGCGCAACGGTTGAGAGTCGTGTCCTCCACCTCCTAGCCGGCAGGGGACCCGGACCATGAGGCACTCGCCCGGGAGCCCTTCCCCACCGCCCGAGGCCCCGGCCCCGCACTCACCACATGCTCTGCCTCCAGGTCCCGCCGCAGCTTCTCGCGGAGGTAGTCGGCGCTGAGTTCCATGGCCACAGCCCGGCGGGGGCACAGGCAGGCGTGCCCAGAACCTCGCCTCGGGTCCCCGCCACCGCGCCTTCCGCCCTCACTGCAGCCACTTCCTCCACGCCGCTCACTTCCGCCCTTCCTGGGGCGGCCTCGAAAGCAGCACTTCCGTCTCCCAGCGCAGCGGAATTCGCCACCCTGGGGAGGTTCCGCCCCAGCAGTTAGCCAATCCGAGCCGGGCTGGGAGGCGGCGGGCGGTGAGGCGGCGTTTGCTCATCCTCCTCCTGCCAGCAGGCGGCGCACCAAGCCGCGCTGCCGGGTTTCCAGGGCGCTGCACGCTCATCCTCGAGGGCTTTTTCCTAAACAAAACGTTTTGCAGTCCTGGCTACCCAGCCCTTCCCGAGGGCCAAGGTCCCAGAAGCAACCACCCCCGACTTCGGAGCCCCCGCCCAGAAAGTCCAGATGGGACCTACAGCGAGGCCGGGGCGCTTCTTCGGGGTCTACCTGCTCTACTGCCAGAACCCTCGGCATCGGGGCCGCGTTTACGTGGGATTCACTGTCAATCCTGCCCGTCGGGTCCGGCAGCACAACGCCGGTCGCAAAAAAGGTGGCGCCTGGAGGACCAGCGGGAGAGGACCCTGGTAAGAGGGCGCTGGTGTCTTGCCGGAAGGCTCGGGATAGGAGGCGGACCGCCTGGACAGAAGCCCAAAGACAGAGGCGGGGCCACTTCTGTGATCATGGGCGGTGCTGAGTCCCCGGCCTGTCACCCGCAGCGGGAAGGACTTTGTAAAGGCTAGATTCAGACTTGGGATGGCCGGGCGGTGGTGGCGCACACCTTTAATCCCAGCACTCGGGAGGCAGAGCCAGGCAGATCTCTGTGAGTTCGAGCCTGGTCTACAGAGTGAGATCCAGGACAGACTCTATGGTGGCTCACAACCATCTGTGCTGAGATCTGATGCCCTCTTCTGGCCTGCAGTCATACATGCTGTATACATAATAAATAAATAAACCAAAAAAAAAAAAGATTTGGGATGGTTAATTGGTGAACGGGGTCACAAGCTAAGGGGTGGTCTGTAACTCCAGTACCAGGGTATGGAACGCCCTCTTCTGACCTCTGCTCCCACCAGGCACGCACGTGGTACACATACATAAATGCGTACATACAGGCAAAAACACTCATACACATAAAATAATAAAATAAATCTAAGAAAAAAAATAAATACAGAAGCTAAGTTATGGGATCAGACTAAGTTAGGGTTACCGTTGCTGTGATGAAACACCATGACCAAAAAGCTTACTGGGGAGGAAAGCATTTATTTGGCTTACTCTTCCACATTCACTGGTCATCACTGGAGGAAGAGTCGATGCAGAGGCCATGGATCCAGGACCACCGGCCCAGAGGTTGTACCACCGACAAAGGCCTGGGGGGCCTTCCACATCAATCACTAAGAAAATGCTTGCATACAGCCCGGTCTTATGGAGGCATTTTCTCAACTGAGGCTCCCTCTTCTCTGATGACTCTACCTTGTGTCAAGTTGACATAAAACTATCCAGCACAGGGCCCATCAACAGGTGAAGGAAATGTGACATATGCAAGGTGTAGTTTTGAAAACCCAGTTTATTTTAATTTGGTTCGTAGGAGTGTTTTGCCTTCATCTTAAGTGCACCGTGTTCATGCAGTGCCCGCAGAGGTCACAAGAGGGCGCCGGATCCCCTGGAATGGGGGTTACAGACAGTTCTGAGCCCAGGTCCTTTGCAGGTGCTCCTAACGGAACCACCTCTCCAGCCCCCAAATGCAATGTGACTCAGCCGTAATGATGAATGAAATTATACCCTTGTGAGAAAGTGGATGGAACTGGACATCATCATGATAAGTTACATAACAAATATTTCAAGTGTTCTCTCATTCGGAATTTAAAGGAAAAGTTATGAAATTATGTAAGAAGGGAGCTATTGGAATGAGGAAGAAGTCAAAAAAAAGAGGGAAGTGGTTATGATAAGTAATGCCAAAATACATTACATAATTTAACTATTTTGTACAGTTAATATACACCAGTAAAACTTGTTTTAAAGACTGGGATCAGGAGACAGGGGCCCTAGTCAGCAAGGCTGGGTCTAGAATAATACTTTCTTTTTCTTTTTTCTTTCTTTTTTTTTTTTTTTT